GAAAAAAAATTAAATTTACCCGGGTTTTACACTGTTTGTTTTTCCCAAATTACCAAAGACATCTATCATGCCTTTGGCACCAAATCTAATGAATTTCTTGAGATCTAGCCAATTGAGGCTAAACCCAATAGCTCAGATTCATCAAGTCCTTTTGCTGGACCAAGATTGCATTGATCACTCCCATTCTTTGCCAATGCATCTTTGAATTTGTTGATCATCACCAAAAAAAAACTCAATGAGTGTATGTTCTACGTGTGTGAGTGGGTGGGTATTTTTGGTGGGGGTAGGTTGCGCAGAGGGGGTAGGGGTAAGGGTTGTTCGTGTGTGAGAAAGAGAGAGACAGATATATACCTGCGAGGCAGTGTCGTTGGGGCGATGGTGAAATAGAGGTGGGGGTCGGGGTTGTCCGTGTGTGAGAAAGAGAGAGATGTTGCTAGGGCAATGGTGGCAATGTCGTTGGGGCGATGATGGCTTGACACAAAGAGAGAGAGAGAGAAGGAGTGAAGGCATCTGACATCGAGTGAGCATGAGAGAGAAGCTTGGATGCGACGAAATTTGGGGGAATATATTAAGCGTAAAACTTTAACTTCTTGGGCGTTGAATAAACTTATTTTAGACCGTAGAATTAGCTTATTGAAGCCGCCCTAAGAGAGAGTGTGTTTAAAACGTCTAAGAGAAGAGAGAGAGAGAGAGAAAGAGAGAGTTATATAAGAGATAGAGGTGTTAGAATTAAGTTCAATTACGATCGTGGGTTTAGTATTTATGAGATGATCGAAACCGTCTTTATGTTGGGATTACATTGTCCGTTAGATGTATTTATGTTTTGTCTCAAAATGATCTGAACCTCTCTTTTTCTCCAATATTCAAACTCAGCTCTACTTTATTATGTAAATATTTTTTCTATTTTTTCACTTTTTTATCGTACCAAAACAAAAAAAGAAAATAAAAACAAAATAATCTTTCATACTTTCTATAACCCCTATCAAATACAAAGAGATGGAAAGAAAGATTCCTCCCTTAAATGATAGAAAGTGCATCATTCTCACTTTCTATCATTCCATTTTTTTATCCACTCAACCAAACACACCATAAAAAATGGAAAAATATTGGTTCAGATGTAAAATTGATTAAGAATGCTCGCGTGATCTGATCTATGCCATTAACTCAATGCCAATGAAACAAAATTTCAGGATACATGTGGCCAGGCATGTGGGAAGACTGGTCTGGCAATTTTGAACGGAATTGAATTTCTTAATTTAACATATTTGCGTTCTGATTTTTAAGATCTCATCCGAATCTGATCTGTTCATAACTATTTAAGCACACAGTTGAAAATAAAGTAAAAATAGAACAGGAAATAAAAACAACAACCAAACACAATTTTGCTTTCCTACTCATGTACTATGGAAAGACCAATAATAACTAGAAGAGCGTAATGAGTTCGACAATGGTTGCCTTCCTACATTAATATCAGTGTTTGGTATATAAAATACCATACCCACTCCCCAGCATAAGATATTTAAGTATTTCTTGCAGAGTAAATTATTGTGTGATTTGAGATTAGTTTAGGTTGTTAAAATACCGCATTAGTTGTTACCTAATGGATTCCTTTAGTTTTGGGCTCCTTTCCCTTTCTTTGCATTGTTAAAAGTATCACAATCACCATAGGTGACAACAATTAAGCATAGGGCTACTCTTTCTTGAAAACAAAGTTTGGAAAAATACTATTGACTTAATGTATAAGCTTGTTAGTTGTATTCCTGCCACTTTTCATATTGAGCAGATTATACTTTGGTCCCCGCAGTTTTGGTTTTGATCTCACTTTGAACAATTGTGCCTCTCCTCTACTAGATTAACATTATTTTGAAACTAAATATTCGTTATGTTTTGGACAAGCAAAATGTCTGCATGTGTCATAAAATACACGTTTTAGTTTCTATAATTAGGTTAATATGAAACCAATAGGCAATAACTATGGTTTTAGGTCCACAGTAGGCATAATAATTTTTTAAAAAACTTAATAGTTATAATTGGAATGAAATGTAAGAAATACCATAATTAATGGACCAATGTCAAATAGATAACCCTAGTTGTATGTGCAACGTGAGAACCGTGGGAAATGAGTGGATAGTATGTGAGATAGTCATAAAAATTTAAAAAATGTTAAATCTTGTGAATAATATGTTACCTTTTGAGAGAATTAAATGGCAAAATTCTTGCACTCATACCATGAACCTATAGAGAGAAACAACTAATGTTCGGTGTGTGGCCCTTGATTTTTTTGCTTTAGAGCTAGCATTGGTGGAAATGGAAGTTGAACGGTGGGGTGTGTGTTGCACGGCAATGAGCTGGTAGTGCATACGACATTGTTGTTCATGTGTTTTGCGAACCTTGGGCTTTTTAAGCACATTAGAGAACTATAATTTGGACTTTTCTTCGCCTCTTCTCGTGGGTGTCCTGTCACCTGCTATAGATGCATTGTTCAAAATTGTAAAGATGAGTATTCATCACAAGCAGTGTTATTAGAACCGGACTGGACTGGCCAGTTGGACTGGTTCAACCTCGAACCGGGGTCTTGACCGGTCCGGTTATTTAATTGGACCACTTAAGAGAGAGAACTAGCTATAAATCGAAAAACTGGCCGATTTTTATAAAAAATCGTGAACCGGCGGTTTCTATAAAACCAAACGGTTTAATACCTATTTACAAAATAAATTGCATAAATAAATTAAATTAAAATTTGTATAGGATTTGGGGGTTTTTTTTGCCCTAAATCGTAGAACAGAAGGCACCACACCACCAACACCGGGCTCCAGCAACATCAGGGCATCAACCTCAAGCAACTTTGATTCCGATCAGCGACATCAGCCACTGCGATTAGTGACCAGGGAGCAGGGAGGGATCTTCGAACCCAGCGAAGTGCGAACCAGCAAACTCATCTCCTCCCTTTAAGGTAAAAATTTTTGCTGTGATTCGATGAATCGATGGGTAAAAACTCAGGCGAACTTTTTTGTGATTCGATGGGTAAAAAATTTTCAATTATTTGGTGTTTAATTCTGCACATTGTTGGTTGATTTTGAGCATCACAAAATCAATGTATTTTTTTAAGACTTGCTTAGTTCTATTGGGCAATTGAAATTATCTATTATTGATGTTACAGTGATATTATTGTCTATTTGTGATCTATTAAGATTGTGAATTGAGACTGTATGAGTGTTAATTGAGATTGTAGGATTATGAATTGGGATATTTGTAATGAATAGACTTCTGAAAAAGAACATTGTTCTTTGATTTATTGCAATGATAATGTTGATTGGAATTGAGATTCCCTCCATTACACATTTTTTCAATACAAGTTGAACTCACTATTTATTTGCAAGTCCCTCTCCCATTAACAGTGAATGACGTACTATTGAGTAAAATTGTAATAAAGATGATTTGAATCCTGCTGACTGTGATGAATAGAACAATTGGGGTGTGTTTAGATCAACGGTTAAAGGATATAACTCTAGTAGGATAGGATAAAAAAATTATGCGAGGCTCATATATCCCACGTTTGGTAAGTAAAAACAACAACGAAAATCTCATTTGGATCTTATCCCATCCCGATTTAAAAAGTCAACTTTAACCCATTTATATGGGTTAAATGAACCTAAGGGGCGGCTAAATTTTTTTTTGCCAGACACGATAATTAATGCAAATAACTGAATTGTCTTATTCTCTTCTCCTTCTTTCTCTCTCGTCTACTACATATCGTCCTCCAATTTTTTAACACATCTAATTTTTTTTTTCAACAAATTTTTTTGTCAAAGCAAGACTTTGTCGACATACCTCAAGAAGACCAAGACATCTTCTCCAATAAGACAACTAATTTAAATAATAAACTAACTTGAATAAAGCAATGTACTATTTGGACTAAGATTAATTAACAACTAATAATAAAATAACTAATTAACAAGAGCTTAAGTTAATTTTCAATAGTTCTCATAATGTATGAACACTTGTCTAGTGCATAAGAAATTACAACATTTTTAAAAATTACATATAAGAAAAATTTTGTTTGGAATTGGTCAAAGGCTAATTTATAAATCAAACATGAAGTTAGATTGGATAAGTTAGGGGCAAGCTAGTCAATGGAACTATATTCCATCACCCTTCTCTATGGGTTCCAAAGAAGTATTTATGTGTTATCCAAACATTGGAAATGATATGATAAAATCATTAAATCCTAATCATTCCAATGATAGGTGGATTTGAGTTGGATAAGAAATCATATTTTTTTAGATGTCCAATACAACCCAACCTTGTCATCCAAACATACCCTTGGGGTTTAAATGTCCATCCCAATTATTGTACATGCAGTCTTGTTCCAAAAAATTTGACACTTTTTTGGATATTAACATTATTTCTATAATATACTTAACATAAATTTACTGCACTTGCTATCTATCAAAACTTAACAAATATGTAAAATGCAAGTATATATCTTGTGACTTCATGGGGTGTAGATGCGTTCGGTCTTTAATATAAGAACCAAAATGAATTTAATAGATTTCACAAAAAACGCATTTATTTTGTGACTAAATTACAAAAAGATCAAAGCAATTTAAATATTTTGGAAGTCAAGCTTTTAAGAGGAAGAAGAAAGTTTAGAAAATTTAATACTTAACCATTTATGACTCCACTCTTTTGTGAGTTGCTCTAGCTACTCTCTATTGTTTCTTTCTTGTATTATTTGGAAGCAAATAATTTCTATGTTCAACCATACCTTATCAATGTCTTACTTTAAACTATGTAGTGCCGACCACTAATATTCTTCTCGTCTATCTAACTATTTTCTGTTGGTTCCATATCCCCCTATCACTTTTTTTTCCAACTGAGCCAAGTAACTCAAGATAATAAATGAAAGAGGTTACTTTCGCTTATGAATGAGAGCTAGAAATTGGGAAACTCTTACATTGAATAATGTGTGTATATAAATGAAACATGCATTAAAATAAATGGATTCGTCTGCAAAAAAAGGTCAATGCTTCAGATTTCTTTTTGGTTAGACTGGCCAGACCAGAACTCATCAACAACACATTTGATTCTCAAGTGACTTCTGCCAATGTTATATAAGTCCTAGGTCTCAACACACTTGGAGTGTTGATGGCTCGTATTGACTACGCCCCAGGTGGCCTAAATCCACCCCACACCTACCCACGTGCTACCAAAATGATTTTGTGCTTGAAGGTGAATTGGATGCGGGCAGCCAATGTAGTCATCTCCAAACACATCATGAAGCGTGAGAACTTTGTGTTTTCAATAGGTTTTGTTTACTTTCATAAGAACAATGGGAAGGTTCCTGCTGCTGTCGTTGTCGGGTTTAATAGTCAATTGCCTGGTATTCATGTCATTGCTTCCACACTGTTTGGGGCTATGCCGCTAGTGAAGGTTGTCTAAAGGCTTACCCTAGCAAAAGGAAAGACACTCCTTATTTATAGGCTCGAAATAAGGGCAATATTGGTCAACAAGACGACCGCTAGATTACTGGGAGGGTGGTGGTCATGGGAATGAAAATCATGTTTCAAACCGACCTAGGATAGCATATCGCTTGATTGATCCTAGATGGAGAGCCCTGATCTCATCCATTTGGCATTTTTTTTCTTAAGCCATAAAAGGACTGCTCTAGTAAGGCTAGTGTGCATAGGATGGTCCCTACTAGTTTTTAAGCAAAACCAAACAAGAAAAATTCATCTTGAGCCCTAGAGGCGTTGGTCAAGAGGGGTTCGATAATGGCTGAAACTATATTTTCAAAAATACAAAATAGTTTTACAAAGACCTAAGAGCCATGAACAAATTAATCCTAATTCTATTTAACCCTAATCCTCCTAAGTTAACTACCAATGGATCATCTTAAGTATTTAGGCCATTACCTTTGTCATAAGCTTGAAGGTGCATTAAGAATGTGAATGATGTAGCTTTGACCCTTGATCTCCTCCCTTCAATGATACTTTCGAATTTTCAATCTTTATAGCATCATGACTGTGGAATAGATTGAGATTTACAATAGTCTCCATGAAATTAGTGAATTACAAACATATATCTAATAATCCTCACCTTTGGCAATTTTGTGAAAAAATACACAAGTAAGAAATTAAGATTACAACCCACAAACCATTTAACAAAAACGAATTATAATTTTATGAAGTACACGTTGTATATCTCTATCTAAGTATAAGATCTACTTCTTTGGATGTAGCTTGAAGGTCATAGTCCTGCACATCAACACTCAAACTAAAACCTTGTTAAAAGCATCATGTGTTAGACAATTAAATAACACAATCACAAGTTTGGAAAGCACTAAGTTAAGCATAGGACATTTTCATGTATATATCATGCAAGTAAAAATGTGTAACATATTAAGAACTACTTCACCCCCATATACTTCAGAATCTATTGATATAGCAATTTTAAACACATCAAGTTCTCTCCCTTAGTTGGTGTTCACAAGTAAAATAGCAAGTGAAAAATAAAAACAAGTGTAA